TGGGGCACTTTTATGAGCCCCCACCCAGTGGGGGGGCATCCTGGCTAATTTAGGAGGCTTCCCAGGCAAGTGGGGCACATGAGGACAGGCAGGCAGGCAGGCAGATTCTGAGCCTGGAGCCATTAAGCATTTCCAGCGTTACAGAGAAACCCTTCACAACGTGGTAAAGGGTGATTTTAATTACACTCGTGTTCAGGCATCGAGGTTTTGGAGGCATTTTCCTCATGATTGCTCCTGTCCCTCCCTAGTTCCCGCCTCCATTCTACTTCTGGTCCAGGGTCATCTCTGACGACTGAATTTCCTAATTTTAGGTCCTTGTAGCTGCTGGGATCCTAGGTTTAGAGGTGAAACGGACCTCAGAGCCCATGGATTCCAATGCCCTCCTTTAATGAAGGAGGAAACGGAGGTTCAGAGAGGGAAGGGAGCCCACCAAGGCCCCTCTTTTCTTTTTCTTAATTTGTGGCCAGGGACTTACTTTTTGGAAGTAACTTGCCCCAGAGGTCACACAAGCTAGAACAGGATTTGAACCTAGATCGTCTGACTACAGATTCCTAGACCTTTCCACTGTACCACGACTGCCTTTACTATTTTATTTTCACTGCTTCTTTTTTACACATACTCCTTACTACTCAGGTGACTCCAATTCTGTAGTCAAAGCTAAGCACACTTGACCTTGCATGAAGGTCAGCTCATCTCTGAGTATTCCAGGGGACTCTGAAGTGTCATTCAAAGATCTGAGCCACTCACTGACTCTGACCTCGTGCTGTCTTCACAAACTCCCAGTAAAGGAGGCAGCTCACGGGCTGTCACCTTCCTATTGCAGGTGAGCTACCTGGCCCCTGTACTTGCCCGCAGCCAGGCAGAGAGAGGTGGGAGAGGTGGGGCTCACACCCGGGCTTTTCCCTGTGGTCCGTCCATAGCTGCCTCTAAATCATCCCTGTTTCTTCAATGCACTACAGAATTTTATAGCTCAGGAAAAAGAAGGGTGGAGGGAGAGAAAAAAGCAGGAATAATCTCTAATTACCACAAATAAAGAACGGTCATAATTAAATACTTGACTGTGATGAAATTTTCAGCATCAGTCAACTCCAGTGTTTGGAAGCTCGGCCCACCATTAGCTCAAAGTACATGGTAATTGTCTGTAATGTATGAGGCTTGCGTGCCTGGATGGGGATGCTTATTTCTCCTTCCAATCCCTTTCAAGTTGGAAGTGCTTTACCGACATTAACTAATCCCAACCACATGGAGAACAACATGGCGCAGTCTTATCCCCAGGATGCAGATGGGGAAACTAAGGCCTCGAGGTTAAATGATCTCTCCAAGCCACAGAAGTCAGAGGCTGAGGAGCTACTGGGACAGTCAGACCGTCCTTCCCTCTCTCTAGGGCACAAGGAGGGAAGAGGCATCAACTCTGAAAAACCCGAGTGTTGAATGTCAGGAGCTGGCATAGTCACTGAAGGTCTCTGCCAAGATGGCGCGTTCATACTGGCTGTGGTCTTGGCAGACCATGGGTTTTGTTTCAAAAGAATGGACATAATATGGCCACAAATATAATGATTTATATATTATTAGAAAGAGGTGACTGTGGCATAGTGGGTTGGACTACGAGAAAGGAAGATCTGGGTTCAAATCCTGCCTACAATATTGACTAGTTATACCAACGACTAACACTGATGGAGAGGTATTCCTCTCTAGACCAAAGGCACTTGTACCTCTAATCTGCTTGTGGAAGAACCTTCACTATAGGATAAAATGCAAACTCTTTTGTTGGGCATTTGTTTGTTTGTTTGTTTTTTGCTTTTTTTGGTGAGGCAATTGGGGTTATGTGACTTGCCCAGGGTCACACTGCTAGTAAGTGACAGCTGTCTGAGGCTGGATTTGAACTCAGGTCCTCCTGATTCCAAGGCCAGAGCTCTATCCACTGCACCATCTAGCTGCCCCTTTTGCTGGGCATTTGGAGCCCAGTCTGGCTCCAGACTCTTTGGATATTGATGACACACATCAACCTCAGCCTGTGCCTTACGTTCCCTGTTTTTGATGTTCCATTTCCCATATCCGTGCTGGCTGCCCCTCGTACCCTGGAAAGCCTCCGCTCCTGTCTCCCCCTACAGCAATCCCTACCTCCCACCTCCCCTGGAATCTCATTAAAGGTATCCCTTCCTAAGCAAACCATTTCCCCATCACCCCATTCACCATTACTTTTCTTGCAATTACTCTGCAGTACTTAATTGGCTTGGTATATATCTCTCCCCACCCCCACCCTACAGCAGAATGGAAGCTCCTTAAAGGGCCTTGTCGCTTTTGTCCTGGTGTCACTGTCACCCAGTACAGTGCCCGGCACACACCACATGCTTAATCAACTCTAGGTGAACTGGTGAGTTGAATCCAAATTCTCCTCGTCCTTCAAGACTCAACTCAAGTACTGCCCCTTTCCTTTCACTCAGACTATCAGGTGGTGTCTAAACAGTACCACGTTTACCGGAACTGTGGTGAGTACACGGCTAACCTAAACATGGAGATCTGGTGCTAAAATTGGGCAAGTTTTTGGTTTGTTTGTTTACTGGGTAATCACAGTGGAGATGATGGTAGACGTTAAGCATTTAAAGGGATGTCAAAACGCAAGAGGATTAGCCACGTTCTGCTTGGCCCCAGAGAGAAGAACCAGCTGTGGAAGCTGTGGGGAGGCAGACTGAAGCTTAATTACAGGAAAACAATAAAACCAACATTCTAACTATCTGAACGTGGAATGGGGCTGCTTCAGATAGTATGGAACAAAGGCAGGGCTCTGGCTTTCCGTACAGTATGGGGACAGTACACTTTCCATGATTACTACACTGCTTCTTACCCTAGATCATCTTCTGCCTTTCTCTGTGAGAATGAATATGTGCCTCAGTTTACCTTTTTGTTAAATTTCACCCACAACGAGGCCTACTCTATAGGGTCAGAATTTTTGAATGAGAAGAATCCTTAAAGACCATTTAGTCCAACATCCTAATCTCAGAGATAAAGAAAGATGAATGAGTTTCCCAAGGTCACACCATGAGTTAGCGGCAAATTCTGGGCTAGAGTTCAAATCTCTTGGCTCTGTCTGGTGTACCTTGCTGTACCACAAACATAAGCCTTATTCAGAGTCACTGTTCAACAAATGTAAGGGAAAATAATTAGATAATTAAATTAAATAATTAAAATAATTAATACTGTGAGCATCCCTCACTGTACTGCAAAGCAACATATAGAATAATGGCGCTTCTTCCACTGGTCAGTATATTCTTAGAAGCAGACAATGAGAATCTATCAAGTGATCAATATTGAAGGTAATGTTTCTCACAACAGCCAAATGCTAATTGGCCTTTTTCTTAAAGTAAATCAGATGAGATTTCTTTCTCCAATTTGATTTCTCCAAACCTGTTGCAAAGGCAGAATTGTGGTTGGATGAAATGAAAACTTCCTAATAATCAGAGCCATGCAGAAGTGAATTAATCAGCTGCCTGGGGAGGTGGGGGGGCTTCCTCTCACTGGACATTTCAAGTAAAGGCTGGACGACCATTTGTTGGGGGTTTGGTAGGCTGGATTCTTGTTTGGGTCTGGGTTGGACTAGATCACTCCCAAGGACCCTTCAGCTCTCAGAGGCTGGGCCTCTATAATGACTGCCCATGCTTTCCAATTTTCAATCGATTATTCCTATTCCCCCAATGGCATCCAGTAATTCTTCTTTAAGCAATGATATCATCCTGCTTCCCTAGAAACTGTCCTGGATTTCCTAGGACCTGCTGGGTGTGTCATAGAAGGTGTGCTCTTCAAGGTACAGAATGGACTCAAAGATCTCTGGGTTCTGTCCTAATGCTGAGTTTTATTGACTTTCTATGGTGCCATTTTGCTGAAATGTTAAGTTTCCTCTAGATCAGGAATTCTTAGCTTTGGGTCCACTGTGGACAGATTTCAGGGAACCTATGAACTTGAAGAGGAAAAAAGTTACATCTTTGTTTTCACTAAATTCTAACTGAAATTGAGCATTTCCTTCAATAATTTAAAAACATGATTCTGAGAAAGGGTCCACAGGTTTTCCCAGATATATGCCAAGAGAGATCAATGACACAAAAAAGATTAAGAATCCCTAATCTACAAAGATAGTTAGTTTTACAAAAGGGACATGGATTGTAGAAATAAGATAGGGATCCATGAGAAACCAAGAAAAGGACAGGCCAACTTCCCAAGACATAAGTCAAAGAAGATGAGAACATAATTTTTCCACATGTGTTTTGTGATGCCAGTTGAGTCCAGAGACCCACTTACACTAAAGAAAACCATCATCTCCCCTCTTAAACAAACCAAGACCTTCCTCTTGCACCATGTTCAAATTAAGGGACTTGCCGACATTTGCTGGAGGCTAGGAGCGTGCCCTTAGAGCAAAATACAAATCATGCTTGCCATGGACACATTTTAATAATCAACTTTAAAAGTGCACAAGACCCCAGTGATGGAAATTCTACAATGAGAACCAGACAAGCCATCTACCATTTCAGAAGGAACCAGGGAGCGAGAAAAGCTGTGTGCTGCTCACACAAAATACTGACTAATGACATGAGGATTCAGGGGAAAGAGGACTGGAAAGCATTTGGTGGCAAAAACGAGGCGCCCATCAGGAAGGAAGCAGGTAAAAGCCATTGCATCCCATGAGGGCAACCACCATTGAACTGTGGGCACCGAGGGATCTTTTACTTAGTTTTCTGTTCAATATATATTCTACTGGCACCCCCCTCTCACTCCCGCTGTCTTTCCACAGTGCATTTCTCTGCAAAAGTCCCACCACCAACAGCCTGGATCCCGTTTTCTGAAATACATTCTTACCAGACCTATCTCTGTGTCACTGAAATGACCCGGTGGCCCTAAGGCCTAAGGCATCAGACCTTTACCGATGGCTTTCCATCAACCCTCATGCTGATCCCTGGGTGTCTCTGCCTCCACACAAACGAGGGGGGGGTCCCCCGGGAAAGCCTCACCTCTGGGTCCTGTAATGACAGGCCGATGATGCTGTGTGAATGCCGTTCCCAAGGAGGAGGTCTGCGACGGTGAGGGGCTGCTGAAACCAGACTTCTCTGACTTCTTTAGTGTAGTTGGCGATGGCATCCCTGGCAAGAATGATCGATAAGTTCGATTTAATAAGGCGATGTCACGGACCGACGAGCTAATGCAGTAGGGAAAAGTAGCCCGAGAAAAGTGGACAGACAAATAAAATTGAACATGGCAGCAAATGGAAGCCTGGTGCTTAGTCATGGGCTTTGGGCTTAGGATAGTAGATTTAAAGCTGGAAGGGACCTGAGGGGGTCATCTGTTCCAACTTCCTCATTTTACAGAGAAGGAAACTGAGGCCCAGAAAGCCCATGGGGTTCTAAGTTCAGAGCTGAAAGGGATGGGGCAGGTCAACTAGTCCAATTGCATGATTTTACAAAGGAGAAAATGGAAGCCTAGAGATTTCCAAATCATACCCATAGTGAGCAGTGAGCATGCTTGGTTCTAGACCTGGTTCCTGATGGCCGCAACCCCTCAACCACCGTATACTTTCCACCATACCTGTCAGAGCTTTCTAGGACCAATACTTGTTGGCCAGTATTAATCAAACCTATTCCAATAAAAATTTATATTCAATTTTTTATGTTCTCTAAGATTTTACTAGGTTCCAGGGAAGTCATCATTACGAGCTCTGTACCTCCATGCAATGGGGATAAGAGCTCTGGATTTGGAGGCTGGGGACTTGGGTGCAAATCCTAGCTCTGACCTTTACTAACAACAGTGTGACTCTTGGGCAATGCAATGAATGTCTCTGAGACTGCTCCCTTTTACATCCAGAAAGTAAGGTGATTGGACTAGGAAACAGTAGTAGTTGGCATCTGTAGAGTGCTTTAAGGCTTGCAAAGAACTTCATGTGAATTATTTCAAATGCACACATTATCCTGCATGACCTTGGAAAGTCACTTTATCTTTGCGGGACTCAGACTGTGGCCCCAACCCACTGGTGGCCCTCTACCTCAAAGTGAGGGCACCAGAGAAATCCATTCTCCATTGAGGGGTGCACTTCTGCATGTATTCTATCTGAGTGAGAGTCATAGATGTGAGAACCACAAAGGTAGAGGCGGAAGGCATAGCTCTCCTCAAATGCTCGGCCCACAGGTTTTCTCAAAAAGCTCAACCAAATGACTAACCTCTGCCTGTGTTTTAAGGTGCAGAATTTCATCCTCACCTCTCTCTCTGTCTCATTCTTTCTCTCTCCCTCTCTCTGTCTTTTCTTTATTTCTTCTCTCTCTTCCTCTCTGTCTCATTCTCTCTCTGTCTCTTCTGCTTCTCTCTCTCTCTCTCTCACTCTCTGTCTCTGTCTTTCCCTCTCCCTCTCATTCTTTCTGTCTCTCTCTGTGTGTCTCTCTGTCTCTCCCTCTCTCTGTTCCTTCTGGATGCCTTTAAGCAACAACCTGGTAGAATATCACTCCAAAGAAGAAAGAGATCTCCAGTATCGCAAGAGAACAACACAACTGTTCGACTATAAGAAGGAATGTGGGATAATGGATAGAGAGTTGGCCACAAAGAAACAAAGTCCTTTGTTCAAATTCTATTTTTGGTTGCTTGACCCTGGGCAAATCATTTCATATCTCAGGTGATTCTATAAGACTAAAAGTGACAAACAAATGCAAATATATATTTGGAGAAGGAAACCTTGCATTGTGAGTTTTTGTTTAGTTGTGTCTGATTCTTCATGACCCCATTTGGGGTTTTCTTGGCAAAGATACAAAAGTGGTTTGCCATTTCCTTCTCTAGCTCATTTTACAGGTGAGGAAACTGAGACAAACAGGGTGAAGTGACTTGCCCAGGGTCACACAGCTAGGAAGTGTCTGAGGACAGATTTGAACTCAGAAAGATGAGTCTTCCTGACTCCAGACCCCATGTTCTATCTACTGCTTCGCCTAGCTGCCCTTTGTTGGGAGTTACCAATACAAATTATAGATCTGTATTAAAAATGGAATATAAATTCATATTGAGATTCTGATTTACAAATTTATTAGTGAAATTAAAAAAATACTTTCCTTAAAGTCCACTGTCAGTCAATTTTAACATTTAGAAAGTGAGATCACTCCACAAAAATCCATGTTGCTTCCCTGTTTAACTCAGCATTGCCAACACAGAATGCTTCTATCTAAAATGAAAGTCAGTATCTGCCGAAGTGTGGTGTATGTTTGGTGACATAACTCAAAGTATGATAATCTCCCACCCCGAGGTATTTTCACTGGAATGTATTAGGGAAATGATTTTAAATATTCCTCAAACTATGTAGGACAAAACATCATCTAGGATGTAAATGAGCCACTCAATTCATTAGAACCTGCCTTGGGCCCATCATTCCTGGTTAATTTGTTTGATATATTCTCACTTTATGGGCTCAAAATTAAAAAGGCTAGTCTAGATCATGTGTTGACAGCAAGAGAACATGAAACTTAAGTAGAATTTTTAATCACAATTGGGCTTCCATTCATTATTTTGCCCGTTAAAAATCAGTTTCGTGTTGCAAAAATCGTGTGAATTAATCATGCAAACGGAGAAGTTTCACAAAGCACGTCTGCCTGCCTTATGATATCTCAATAATTAAAAATGATCACATTGATTATTTTGTTTTTTATACCTGTGATTTCATTGGTGTGGGAAACACTCAGGATAGAACACTGGGCTTGGAACCAGGAAGACTCATCCTCTTGAGTTCAAATCCTGCCTCAAACACTTACTAGCTGGGTGACCCTGGGCAAGTCATTCACTCTGTTGGCCTCAGTTTCCTCATCTGTAAAACGAGCTGGAGAAGGAAATGGCAAACCACCCCAGTACCTTTGCCAAGAAAACCCCCAATGAGGTCACAAAGCATCAGACAAAACTGAAATGACTCAACAACAAAAAACTTCCTACAATGATGCCAACTGGCAAGTGCACTATAATTTATAGTCTTAGAGAACTGGGCAGTAAAAGGTGAAGGGTCACCTATTGACCCAGGGTCACACAGTCAGTATGCGAGAAAAGCCCCACTTACACCCTTGTCTTCATGGCTCCAAGGTTGGGCCTCATCGCCTTTACCACACTGTCTTAAAAATCCCAAGTTTTAGAAAAGGATAAGGATTCATCAGCAGAGGAAATTTGCTTTGTCAATGTCAGCTGGCACATTCTTTATGACTTGTAGTCTTAGAGAGTTGCTTAGAGCTCTGAAAGAGTCCGTCACACAAGTAAGTAGTAGAACTATGATTTGAACCCAGGTCCTTTGACTTCAAAGACAGTACTCTTCCCCCCTGTTGCTGTTCAGGTGTTTTACTTGTGTCAGGACTTTTTATGACCCCATTTGGGGATTTCTTGGCAAAGATACTGGAATGGTTTGCCATTTCCTTCTCCAGCTCATTTACAGATGAGGAAACTGAGGCAAACAGGGTGAAGTGATTTGCCCGAGGTCACACAGCCAGTTAGTGTCTAAGGCCAGATTTGAACTGAGGTCTTCCTGACTCCGGGCCCAATGTTCTATTCACTATGGCGCCACCTTGCAGCCCTATTCTTCCCCCTACACCACCCATTCCAGCTTCTGTCACCACCATCATCTGACTGGAGCGGTTCTCTAGAATAAATCAAATGACCTCCTTCTTTCAAATCTAATGACTTTTTCTCTGTGTGCACCAGCCTGGACCTTCTGCAGCATATGTGGCTGCTGGCCACGTGCTCCTCCTTGAAATTCTTTCCCATCTTAGCTCAAATTTAAGGGACTTTAAATTTTACAAACTGTCTTCCTTCAAACCATCTTGGGAGGTAGGCGGTGTAACTTTCGCCATCCCTACTTTGGAGCGCAGGAAACTGAGCCTCAGAGATGCAAAGTGATTTGTAGGTGGCAGCATCTAGACCAGAACTCACATCCAGGACCTTGGCATCGTATGAGAAGCAATTTCATGAACTGAAAAAATTCTGGTTTGGGAGTCAGGACTTAAAAATCTGGATGACCACAAGGATCACTTAACCTTTCATAACCTTGATGTCTTTATTTGTAAAATGGCAGTAGTAATTCACCATCTGCCGAAAAGGATTATGATGAGGAATAGGACTGAGGGCTGGACAGGGGATCTCACTGAGATAGGGAAACACCCTTTACCAGTGCAGGTGGCACCTTCTCTGAAGATCAGAGCCTCATCTAGACCCTTGGGAAGTTAAGTGACTTTCCCAGGGTCACACAGTCAAAATGTGTCAGGGGCCAGTCTTCCTGTCTCCAAGGGCACATCTCTGTCCATGTCATCATGTTGCCTTTCAAAGTTTTACAAAGGTCACAGCCAAATTCATGAACCTTTTCTTACTGAGTCAATGAGAAGCATAATTACTAAGTTAAATATAAACCAAAATCAGAGCATTTTATAGGAGCAGAAGTGAAAATATAGGGTCAGAACTTTCTTTGGGTATTGTGTTTCTGTCCCCTGATCAACCATCAAATTGACATTCCAGCGCTTTAGGAGCTGACCAAAATCATTTGTTAGTGTCCAAGGCAGGATTTGAACCCAGGTATCTGCTTATCCCAGGTCAAGCTCACTTTTCCCTAAACCACATTTGTCTCTAAAAGACACAAAAGGCAAATGATCCCAATGCCCCTCCCCAAGCCCTCTCTCTACCCATACCTAACCATTCTGAGTCCCTTTCTTTTCAGCTCACAGTTGGCATTTCTTTTCAGCCAATCCCCCTACCACTGATTTAAAGCTGTCTTTAGTTAACAACTTCCCACAGCCCCACGCGGAACTGAAGTGAGTCACAGCTGTGAATAAGAAATAAAAAAGAAATGGAAAAAAAAACTCAACCCACACCAGTAATTAATTTCAGTCTCCAAATGAAGAAAACTTCCATATTTTTATAAAAACAATTCCACAACTAAGTCCTGAAGAAAGATCCCTGGGTTTGACAAGAATGAGGAGCCCATCTCTTTGTTGGAGAGTGAAAGGGACCTATTTTCAGAGAGACAGAGGAGCTAAAATATTAATGGGCAGAGGGGACTTCCCTTAAACCGATCACAGTAAAATACAATTATTTCCCACAGGCGGTGGCAATGGAAAGGAATGCTGGATGGTGAATAAAAATGGGG